CGCTCGTTCTCATCTCTTACAGGTACTAATACAGTAGCCAATAGCGATGTGGATCTTCTTGTTGCCAAGTGTGATGATAATGGTACCTAATCCTCCTTTACAGCATTGTCGTTTTCATGGGGTTCCATGTAATTATGGTGAGCTTGTATATTGTTTGGCTTGTTAACATCCTTTGGTTGGTGCAGTAATGAATGGTGTCGGCGATGGCATATCTTACAGGACACTTGAAGACGACATTTTGTTGCAGCATGTCCTGGAACCAAACAATTGTAACATAAGTTCTTATTTCTTACAAACTCAGACCTCTCCTCAGGTGTCAATTTTGCAAAATCTTTACAGTGACTTATAGTGTGTTCTTCATTACATCTTATGCAAGTTCTAGTCGGAGATACAGCAGACGCATGGAATGACCTTTCCTTTGTTGTTTTAGATTCCCGTGAAATGGATGAAGATGGCGTTATTAATTCAAATGTGCGGAACTTTGACTCCAAAAAACTTCTTAAATCCTTCCAGGTAGGTAACTCATTGTGGTTAGTTTTGTAGGCATGCTCTTCCCATGCTTTATGTGAATCTGGGTCCAATTTCTGTACGACCAGAAATATAATTAATGGATCCCAAGAATCGGTAGATAACTGAAGGTTATTTAAACTATTTAAGCATTCCGTAGTTGTATCTAGTAATAATTTTACTTGAAAAGATGTTTGTGGAATCTTTTTTTGTCCAAATAACCTTTTCATTATTGAGTTAACGATAAGCCTTTTATTTCCATACCTATCCTTTAATAAACACCATGCGTGTTCATAGTTGTCTTCTGTAATTTTAATATGTTTTAATAACGCTTCCGCTTCTCTGACGATGCTTGATTTTAAATATTGCAACTTTTGAACCTTACTGAGTGAACTGTTATCATGTACCAGCGATGAAAACAAATCATTAAACGACGGCCATACTTCATAGCTTCCCCCAAACGAAGGTAACTGTATTCGAGGTAGTTTGACTTCTGGTGGTGATGCCTGACCTCCGGTCGTGCCCATGGTGTCCGTAGATTCCAACTTTCTAGAGTTCGCGCTTAACATGTCCTTCAAGTCACCCTTTAAACACAAGTACAAATCTTGGATGATGAAATAATCTTCGTTAACAAAATATGATATATTTGGCCTTTGTTCTTTAGGTACACATTTAACTAAGTCCTGGTGTGTTGACTTAAACGTTTGCCAGTATTCTTCGATGCACTGTATTCTCGTTTCAATATAACCTTTTGTTAAACGTTGTTTCGGACATATTTTTACGTTTACTTGTGTCTATTGTAATAGAACTGCCGTTTCTTCTAATAAATTTAATAATTTTTCACTCATTTTCACGTTTTGCAATAGAATAAAGCAATTCAATATAGAACGTTAACGATGTTAATAATATTGCACTTTATCTTTAGCGAGGGCCTTGGAATGCAGTTGCAGTCACTATTGTTATTAGTTGCCAGCCGCTCGATGCAGTAAACAACTATTGATCCGGCTCTGATTCAACCATATGTTATTGTATTTAAGGTTCACTTTGCACTGACTATAGATTTTTGTAAATAAAATAACGTCTTGCTCTGAGAAGTGTTTATTGCAAACTGATTCGATACAAAGTACTCTGTGCCTGATTCATTACAAACATGTTTTACACGACACATAGAAAATGTATGTATGTATAATTGTAAACACAACACCCACTACCAATTTAAATATGAGAAACCGACAAAACTACTTATAACTATCCTTATTTTATTTCATATAAACAAAAATATTTGATTTTCTCTGAAATTTAAAATCTGTGTTTCAAAGAGAGTAGAGAGAATTCCATACCTTTCCTAGATGTGTTAGTCATCCGAAATCCGTGGGCAAATCTTTGTTACAGAGAGCACAAGGGATCTGTGACAGCAAACACCTGGCCGCCGAGCTTCAACACGTCCGACTGAGTGAAGCCGGCCACAGTCGAGCATGTGCCTGCTGTACTACCATATGTCAGAGGTGTCACAGACAAGATTGGCTACATCTTGAAGCGAGCTTCTGTTAGAACATTCTACAAGCCGCCGAAGAAGATTAGTCAGTTCCTATCATCCGTCAAGTGTAATATGTGTATGTAGAGTGTACAAGCTTGATTGTGAATGTGGTCTTCCTAATATAGGATCAACAAAACGATCAATTAGAACCCACGTAAAAGAACATATAGCTGATGTGAAGCATCAACGTTCCCGGAAGTCTGCAGTTTGTGTTCATATCCTAGACGGCCCCAACCACTACATCAAATTTGATAGACCACTAATCCTCGCGAAAGAACACCGATTCCTACCAAGGATGATACTTGAGGCCATTGAAATTAAAAAACATCCTAATTTCAATAGAGAAAGAGGCTGGGTACTACCACCTGCTTGGGACCCAATATTCAATAAAATTAAAACTAAACCCAAGCATAACACTGCAACATCTCAGGACATAGTCAGTTCATTTTGCATACATCGGACCATAAACAATAATTAAAAAAGCTGAAAGTATTCCGGGTTTAACAATGACATCGGGACTTCAGTCACCTCTATCCCCCGTGACCATGGGTGCTGGAAAGCCCCCAAAACGTCGGGAATTAAAAATAAAAATAATTAAAATTAAACGCGATAACATCCGTAAAAGTAGTTTTAATCAACAAAGTCGATATTCAAGTTACGAGCTGGAGGCGTTGGCTGTAATTAAGGGCATCAAAAAGTTCAGACATTACTTGTTTGGAAAGAAATTTAAGATTGTGACTGACTGTAAAGCATTTCAAATGACAATCAACAAAAATGATTAAGCCATGTCAACGAGGGTGGCTAGATGGATCATGTTTTTACAGGATTATGATTTTACAATAGAGCATAGAGAAGGGAGTAAGATGAGACACACAGATGCTCTTAGCAGAAACCTGATAGAAGTTAATTCAATATTTTCAACATTACATGATAACCTCCAATATGCTCAAGATCAAGATGAAAATTTGAATGTTATAAGAGAGATATTGAAGTCACAACCATATCAAGAATACTTTTTAGATTATGGTTTACTGTACAAGGGTGAAGATAAGAAGTTAGTTGTACCCAAGAGTACGTAAAATAACATTTTAAATGCAAAATCAAATTTCCAATTGAATGTAATTCTAATATTATAATAATGCATGTACTTAAAGTTATTAAACTGATTTTGTAACAAATTCATTTAGCGTAAGGAAATTTCCAATTGAATGTAATTCTAATATTATAATAATGCATGTATGTACTTAAAGTAATTAAATTGATTTTGTAACAAATTTATTCAGTGTAATGAAATTTCCAATTAAATGTAATTCTTATATTATAGTAATGCATGGACTTAAAGTCATTAAATTGATTTTGTAGTAAATTTATTCAGTGTAAAAGAAATTTCCAATTGAATGTAACTCTAATATTATAATAAAGCATGTACTTAAAGCTATTAAAATGAATTTCTAACAAATTTATTAAGTGTAAATAATGAGGAATAAAAGGCTATTTTATTTTATTAACATTTCCATTTATGAAACTGTTAGGAATCAGAGGGGCATTTCAACGATAAGAGATATGATATAAGACTGTTGTCTTCAATATCTATACACTTTTTTGTCTCTGCAAGCTTTCAGCCTGCAAGGCATACAGATTTGGTCTAAACGATCTACCTGAAAAGAAGGTAATGAATATTGTAAAGGTGTCTTAACTAAATAATAATTCTTAACAATATATAATTTTTTATATATTATATAGAAATCAAAAGGACATTTTTAATAACAAGAGATATGAGATATGGACTATGCCTTCAATGTCAATAAACTATATTTACATATTTCGGTCAGCATTTTGTTATATCTGCCTGTTTGTTAAATAGAAAAGAAATTATTATTAATTATACAGCATTAATCAGCTCCAGCTGATCAAATACAGAACAGTAATTATTGATTAACATCAACGATATTTGACTATGTATGTAAAAGTTGTCTTACATTTTATTTTCACTGGTTTCATGTAGGAGAAAAAAGATATTATTTTTATATTAAGTATGTAATTGTCGATGACAAAATAATATTCCTTGCTGCAGAGTTAACAATACAGCTGTCTAAGCGAAATAGATATAACCATTACACTTTTTAGGCAAATTTATTTTATTTCATGATTTATTTTTATTCAAACATTATATTTGTTTCTGGTACAAATAATTACTACATTTTTTACACATAAATATATGTACCATCTATATTGCCTATCTGCTGGTATAAATCCAGGATCCATGTCTGGCTAACAAATAAGCCGTTTAGTATTAGCCATTTGTAAGGAACTTGCTGAATACATAGGGTTCATATTTGAAGACAAATGCAGGTAAACGAATTACTCTTCAAAGCCGATGAAGCTGTAGCAAATATAGAAGCTTCCTAAAATCCCTCGACCCAAATTCTTGTATTTATTCTATTTATTATTTAATTTAGATTTTACTAATAATTTATACTTAATATTTTGTCACTTTTAACAAACTAATAAGGTTTTAATAACAGATTTTCACAAATTCTAGGTGTAAATTAATAAACTCTTATATTAATTAACCTAAACTCGTCAGTTTTATTGGCGAATTTTACAACAAAAAATAAAAACAGATAATATTTAATTATTATTAAGAATAAATTAATATTTGGCTAACATGCATGATAATATCCATATTCCCTTAGGGTCGGTATACACGACAACGATTTATCATTGTTAAACTGACTGCGCAGACTATTGGTGCAGTTTTATCGAACGTGTGTACAAAAATCGGCACAGATTTTTTGGTTGGTGCAAGCCATCGGAGCAAGTTTCAATATCCATTTGATAAATCGTTGTCAATCGCGTTTGGACAGTATTATTGTAGTGTGTGTACGGAAGTCGGACCAATCATTTAGTTCGTTCGCAAGGCTTTGTGTAGACGGACGCGTCCGCGTGTTAAAAAATGTCGAAAAATTGTAACGGAATCCGTGAGTTATTGGAAGAGTTTATCCAGTGCTATTAGAATGAAGTTTGTGGAATAAGAAAACTAAAGATTATCACGACCGCAACAAGAAAAATGCTGCGTACAATAGGCTAATTATTAAGTACAAACCTATTGATCCTCGAGTCAATAGGGAGACGGTAAAGAAAATAAGTAACTTATAAAATAAAATAACTGACATATTAATTTGTGTTCTGCAAAATCTAAATCTTGCTGCTAGTATACCAAATATGTTTTCAACTATGCGGTATGCTCGTGATATTCGGTATTTGTAAATCTTCTTCGCTCTACTATCCAAATCATTTTGTCGAAATGGTTTTATCCTATCTTTTCTGAGAGGAAACGCGTCGTCAGCTACGAAAACACACGGCAGCGTTCGTGAACTATCACTCAATGTCTCTTGTTCAGAAAAGTTTAAATCATTATTTTCAAACTTTTCGTAAAACTTCGTATTCAAGAACACTCCTCCATCTGATACTCTGCCATTTGTACCAGAATCAAACAGCAAGAATTTGTATTTTGCATCAAAATTTGCAATGAGGACCATACTATGTCTATTTTTGTAGTTGAAATAATAAGAACCACTGTTAGGTGGAAGCACGATTTTAACGTGGCACCTTTATATATATTTTTTAACATCAATGGCACCTTAACAGTAAGGGAAGTTCCGTCGTTCATGGAATTCCCGTACTATTGTACCAGAAACAAAAATAGTAGATTCATTAATAACTTTTATATACAGATAAAATACACATTACAATACAATATTCTTTATTGCACATAAGAGAAAGACAAATACAGAGAGGACATAAACAAATAAATAATGTACGAAAGGCAGCTTAGTATATATTCAAGTGCTAACTATTTAATTTATAAAATGAATAATTTATTGACTATTGCATTGCCCATTGACTAAGAGGATACCACAACCTGTATTTTTTTTTTACAGGTACACTTCTCATCGCAACCCCAGGCCAATCTCATGTCGAAAGAGATACACCAACCCCAGGCAGATCTGTTGTGGAAAGAGATACACCAACACCAGTCCGATCTGATGTCGAAAGAGATACACCAACTCCAGGCCGATCTGATTTCGAAAGAGATACAACAGCCCCAGGCCGATCTGATGTGGAAAGAGATACACCAACACCAGGCCGATCTAATGTGGGAAGAGATACACCAAAACCAGGCCGATTCGATTCTAAAAAAAAGGCACGCTACGACCAAATCGTTCAAAACGCACTTGGAAGTGTGAATTAGCATTTTAAACGTCAGAGTTTTCCGGAAAATCGTTTTGAAGTATATGCACGAAATTACAAGAATTACCAAAACAGCAGAGAATAATTGTAGAAAAAATTATTAATAAGACATTGTTCTTAGCCAAAATGGGTAATTTAATTACCTCACATACTGTCAAAACCAGACTTTATTAACACATTTTTCCCCTCAGCCAGACATTCAAAAATTATCTAATCAACTATGCACTGAAAATCCAATCATCCACACACCGTATCAATGTGCCCACTGTACACAATGTATCACATGCCCAGGCTCACGATTCTCTACGACTGCTTCACTTATTACTGCTATTATTAAGATTGCATTTCTTCATTCTTGAACCATCATTTTCTACAACTATTTCATTCTTATGATTTAATTAATAAAAACTACATCCATCACAATTGTGTTTTCTACACAGCATCAATATCATCAAAAATGTTCTCTAATAGGTATGTAGTTCCCTAGATAATACATAGGCGAAACACTTTTCCCGATAAATTGAAGAAAAGATTTTGTACCGAGTTTTACGTCTTTGAAAAAATCTTTACCATTTTATTTAGGGAACTGCCAGAAATCTTTAGCTTAATTCAAAAGATATTAGCGAACACCCAAAGATTAAGTAAAATTAAATAGATTTTTGTATTACTTATAATATTTTTATATATTATGCAAAACTTACCTTTGATACAAGAAACAGAAAGGGGGGAAATATTCTTTAATATTAATGACTTACCTTACATATTAGGGGATAAACATGATATAGTATTATTTGCTGATGATACTTCATTAATTTTCAAATTAAAACGACAGTTATTAAATTACGACGAAGTAAATAATGCTATAGCTAAGTTAGTCAATTGGTTTAATGTTAATAATTTGCATTTGAATGGAACTAAAACTAAATGTATGAAATTCGTAACTCCTAATGTAAAACATGTCAATACTAATGTAATTTTAAAGGAAGGAACTGAGTCTTGTTAATACCACAATTTTTCTTGGAATCACACTGGACGTAAAGCTTCAATGGCTCCCCCATATATCAAAACTAGCTAGCAGACTTAGTTCTGCAGCATATGCTGTAAAAAAGATTAGAACTCTTACCAGTATTGAAACAGCTAGAATAGTTTAGTTATTTCCATAGCATTATGTCGTATGGTGTTTTTCTATGGGCACACGCGACTGACACTGAAATTATATTTATTTTACAGAAAAGGGCCATTAGAGCAATATATAATTTAAAACCAAAAGAGACACTGAGACTGAGATAAAAATTTAAGGAAATTAATATATTAACTCTGACCTCTCAATACATATATGAAAATGTAATGTACGTACACAAAAATATAAGTAGTTTTGCGAAAATAAGTGATATTCATTCTGTAAATACTAGGAGCAAACACAAGCTAGTAGTACCAGTTACTCGACTCCACCGAGTCAGTAATTCATTCTTGGGGCGATGTATACGCTTTCACAACAAAATCCCAGAAAATATACAAAATTTGTCATATACAAAGTTCAAAAATGTTATTAAACTAAGTTTGTATAAAAAGGGTTATTATAATATTAAGGAATTTATGGATGATAATAACCCCTGGGAAGGGTAATCGCTACCAAGCTATTTCTATATTTGTCTTGTGTTGTTAATTGTAAACATGTAAGCCATTACTGGAAAAATAATAGTCCCGCTGGGTTTCTTGCTGGTTCTTCCCAGGACAGAGGTTTTTTTTGCGAACCATGAGAAATAAATTACCTTTGAAACCGAGAAAGATAGAATGTGGAATACTGAATTTGGATAGCTACAGAAATCCTGGAACGCATTGGGTAGCTTTTGTAAAGCACAATAAATACGTAGAGTATTGTGATAGTTTTGGTAATTTAAAGCCCCCGTTAGAATTAGTTAAATATATGCATAGCTTACCTATTTTTTTTAAATTCTTTTATACTACTGCTGTTAATGCAGTACTTTTCTTTCTTTTAACTTTTATATCTGATTTTATTCTTTCCATATATTTTTTTTATTTATTTTTTACCTTTTTTTTCTTTAATTTATAATTGCTTTTTTTTTGTTTTATTATATACTATTCGGTTCTAAGTTTTGCTTACTGCTATTATAGTTTTATACATTACTACCTCTCTTTTTAATCTATTAATCTTCGTGTAGCTTTTTGCTAATACATTACTAATAATTATTATTTTTTAATTGAAATTTCATTATTCATTACTATATCTACTTACTAATACATTACTTACGACTTTATCTAGATACTATAAAGGTCTTACTATCAAATTTTTATATAATTATTTAAGAAGGTTTATCTCTTATATATATATGTACATAAACACATATATATACATTGATATTGTACTTTACCGCCATTTTCTTTATTTATTACTAGAATTGCAGAAAGTGCAAATCATTATTGCTATATTCTCTTTTGTGATCGAGATATCCACGCTGCACTCGCATTTTTTTTATATATAACTTACCTGTTAACTACAATTATGCGCGACGTCAAGCGTTTGGTGCTACAAAATGTGGACATCTTTGCCTAACATTTTTAAAGAATTACTGGAAAGGAATTTTTATAGTGTATGAAATATATAAACGTATCAATATAAAAATGCCTTTCACTGTGTCTATAACTGGGACAGGAGCCTCTTTATCAACGAACTACTCACCGCCAATAGAACTACGAGGAGACTACGAATGTGGCCTTTTGTATTTTTAAACTTTCAATTCTATTCCCAATATAGATGAAAGAAACAATAAATTTTATAATGGTGAAAAAGAAATGATCCAAATTCCTGAAGGGTCTTACGAGCTTCAAGATATTTGTGATTATCTAAAAAATAATAACACTACTAACACTGTCCTAAAACTAACTTGTAACAATAATACATTGAAAACAATTATTTTTTGCTCTGAATATGTGCACTTTAATAGAAGCGAATCACTGGGTAAAATTTTAGGCTTTAGTATGGAAACAATAAAAGCAAATATAAGTACTGAATCAAAGTATCCTGTCAGTATTCTATCGACAACCATCGTGCGGATTGAATGCGATGTAGTTAGGGGCTCATTTGTTAACGGGAAAGCAAGCCATATAATTTATGAATTTGCACCTAATGTACCACCTGGTTATCGAATAATTGAAATACCTAGAAATTTGAATTATTTTCCTGTTAACCAAAGTTCCATAAGTGCTATCAATATAAAGTTATTGAACGCTGAGAATAAAGAGATAAATTTACGAGGTGAATAAGTACAACTCTATTTACATTTCCGAAAAAAAATATGATAAATTTCAATAAAAGCCCGTCTATTTCGCGTATCCTCTCGAGCGCCCGGCCACCGTTTTACGGTGGACTGTTTTACCCCCGGTAAGCGCCCATCGACCGTTATGCGGTGGTTATACGTAGTTGTCCCAAATAATATTTAAATGAAAAGCCGAAATAATGTTTGTCTCTTTCTAACTGTGACGGCCAAGTATTATTATTAATAACTAAATTCAATATAAAGGGGCGTCAAAAATAGTCTTAAAAGATATATATTAAACAATAAAATTACAATAATAACCATAAAGTTAATATAAATACATTTCAGATATTAGACCAATAACATAGTAAATTAAAGGCAAAATATTGTCTCCCATAATAAATAAATTTACTAAAAAACTTGAAAAAATATTTAAAATAAGATAAATAATAGAAATAAAAGTCGAAAATATTACAAAAACATTTATAAGATAATTAGAAAATTTCTTAAAAATTGTCTAAGTCTTGGAAGTAGTTCATGTATAAAAGAAATTTCCTAAGTTGTGGAAGGAGTTCACGTATAAAAGAAAAGTTTCCTAAGTTATGGAAGGTGTTCATGTATAGATGTCTTGTATGGAGGAGCTGTCGGAGATACATACCTGCAGTTGTACATATACAGGATGTCCGGTTTCCGATGTCCGATACTTTAAGGGGTTAAAATACAATTAATTTTATCGACAAATCAGGGATCAATGATTTTTTTCGCCATCAATAAAAAAATGGCAGCACTTTAAAAAAAATTGTTGGCGAAGCATAGATGCTTGTATTAATTTAACAATATCTACCCAAGTAGAAGACTTTCAAAAACAAAATTGGTCTCAAATGTTAGTTAATAGTGTAGACAATAAATCTAGATTCAAAATATTATTTTTTAATTTTTCAGTATTAGTAAAAAACATTTTTGAAAAAATAAATTAGACTACAAATTGATGTTGTTTTTCAGATTCTTAGCTTTAAAAAAAAACCATCGTGTTAACCAATTTTTTTTACTTGTTTTTATTATAATACAGGATATTTGATAGAGAGTTAGATAGTTTAGGAGCTATGATAATTTGAATGTAACTGTTCAAAGTGCCTCTACCCCGATATTAGATAACTAAACACCCATTCCAGTGAGTAAGATAAAATTCTTCAATAATTCAAGGAATCGTAAGCAAGCACAATAGCATCCTTTGTGTGAGCAGGTAAAAAACGCTGTGCACAACAGTGCGAGCGAGACAGAATAACGGCTGTCTCCAGGTAAAAAAGGGTGCAGTGTGCGCTTGTGCCGTCGAGCAGTCGTCCCTCGCTCTGCGTTGTGATAACATTCCTGGTTTTAAGTAAATCTACTTACTGTACATAATTATTGTTTGTTGTTAGACTTTGTTACGTTTTTGTTTTGTTGTTGAACTGTTACTTTTTGTTTATTACAATGAACGAGTACTCAAGCCAGCATATCGCTGACATCCATTTCGTGTATGGATTGTGTAACGGAAGTGCAAATAGAGCTGTTGTAGAGTATGCACGCAGATTTCCTAACAGACGTACGCCGAATGCTCGCACTTTCGTGAGAATTCATTTGAGACTTGCGGAAAATGGAATAAGAAGGCTCGGTAACGAACGTACTCGTGTTTTGTCGCTCCAAGATGAACATCAAATATTGCAAATGATTACTCAAGACCCTA